GTCATGTTTATACCTGGGATGTTATACCCGTCATATTTATACTTATTCATGTTTATACCTGGGATGTTATACCCGTCATATGTATACTTTGTCATGTTTATACCTGGGATGTTATACCCGTCATATTTATACTTTGTCATGTTTATACCTGGGATGTTATACCCGTCATATTTATACTTTGTCATGTTTATACTTATAAAGTACAGTACATGTTGTGTTCACACTTTGAATATTACCCAAAATGTTGATACCTTGCATGTTACGCCTTATGTTTATACTTTATACATAACAGGTCAAGTTTATACGTTGAACGTTACCCGCCACATTTATACTTTGTATTTTAAACGCCATGCTTATACTTTACAAGTTACACTTTGCATCTTAAATGTAAGGTCGATTACCGTGTGGGAATGCTTTTTTAGTGTCGAATCCAAGATAGTACATAACAAGATGGTCCACTCAGCCAAAAAAGTGTCCGCCTGAAGTCCGCTCTTTGCTTCAGATGGCGCTGCAGTCTGTTTTGAAGCTCTCTTTCGTTTCTCCAAAAGAAGAATAGGAATAGCACCTCCTTGCGTGCTCACATCGACTGCTGCTCATCAGCTGTTTGGGTTCGTTCAATGCGGAGTTTTAGGTTTTATATTTTAATGACCTCTCGCCTTTCATTCTAAAGTCATATTAAACGAAAGGAAACATTCACCCCTTCCTCCGGAACAGGTTTTTAGCCAGCGTAACCATTTTAAAAAAGCGTTGTTCCGAAATTTGAATTCTTATTTATTCAAAAACTTGTAAGTTTCACTTTGATTTTTTTTTTTTTACACAAGTAGGGTAACTGTTCGCAAAGTGTGCGCATTGAGGAAACTTTTTTAATTGCTCAAAGAGAGGAGTGGACCCTCTTGTTATGTAGACTCTTTGGTCGAATCTCTCCGTTTGTCTGCAGGGATGTAGTGTCTCATAATCAGTACGGATTGACTTACTACTGTACTACAATGTCGTGTTTATCCTGTGTATGTTACACGTCATGTTTATACTTCGCATATTACAAGTCATATTCGAAATATTGGTACTCTATAATATAGTACACGAGAGTCGCACTATATTTGCGATCCACGCCGTGGATGATTATGGAACATACATTCAGCATAATAATAATATTGTGCTTTTGTCACAATTAACCTTGTTTCCAACATGTCATGCATCAAGCGCATAATATAAGCCATACTTTATGTATCACGTATATATGTATGTCAATACATCCTTTCATACGATTTACTTAGCTTTTCACTTTAAGTGTTCCATCTAAGGTCTGGCCCTCGTTCTCTGCTGCAGCCCAGTATTATGGTTTCACATACGTGTCGTGTTAGACGCGATTGATATTTGAACAGCAAACAACACGAGTTAAAGCCGGTTTTGTCGGCCCCTACATGGGATATTTGTTTTTGTCTTTGTATGTCAAAATTATCATGTCTAACATTTCGTTGTGCTTTAAGAAAGATGTAATCATTTGGATAATACAACCTCTAATAACATATTGACAATCTCATCACTTAGAAGAGGCCCCATGCGATTTTTCGGCTTACTTTTGCTAAATTTTAGGGATAAAGATTACCACATATTTTAAGATTTCTGTTCACTCTATGGGAGGAGTTGGGAATGGGGGTTATGTCTTGCCCCACCCTCCCAGTGACAATCTGTGGGTGGGTTGGG